ATTTTATATACATATTACATATTAAATACATATTTTTTGGTTTATTTTGATCCAAAGAGAATTCGATTCTAATGAAACTCAAATAAACTGCACTGAAATGTTTTGATTTTGTTCCCTCAACAATTAAACTTTAATAGTTTTAAAAGTCCCGTTTCTTATTTTTACCCCTACCCCTTGTTTTCGAGTGTCACCCTAACACCTTGGAACTGAGTTAGAGGGTAGTGGCTGAAATCTTCCCTCTGAAATGAGACCCTCAAATAAAAAGAGCATCACTTCATTAACAGCTACCAGCGCTGCTCTGTAGGCGACCCTGCCAGTCTGCAGTGACAGCAGAGGAGGGTAAAGTTCAGCTCCTCACTGCTGGGCTTTAGTAACATTTAGGGCATCATATGACTTCAAAGAGGGGGCAATTATTTATTATCACCCCCCCCTAATTCTTCAGTGATATGAAGCTGAAGTCAGATATTCACCAGATTCTTGCTTGAATTTTTCCGTTCCACCTTAAATGGAGCAGCAGTTCTGATGCCTGAGGTGCCAGAATGTAACTGCTGCATCATTTAAGGTGGAACGGGAAAGGAGGTGGAGAGACATCAGCTATTACTAGCGATTTTTTTGCTTGTTATGAAGAAAATGACCATAATATATTGAAACGACATTAAACTAAGATAATACAGTGGTTATTTTAATTATTAATGGAGAAAATTCTCACATTTCTGGGTTTCCTTGGTCTCTTGTTCTCCATCTTGCTGGTTTTTCTTTTTTTCTCATAACTCTCTGTTTTGAGTGTCTGAAAAACCTCCGTTTGGAGGGTCATGTAGCCCCAACACTTCACCCTCCCCCTCTATCTCAACAAGAACTGGGACACCCTACCCCTAGACGTGAACACGCAAAACAGAGGGCTAAGGGCTGAGTGGTAGGGGTGAGGGGTGTAATGGGACTGGGCCAAAGTCTCTGCATACTTACTCTACTCTGTTTGACTGAAAGGAAATGTGTGGCATGATTAACCTGAGTTGAGTTGAAAATTCAGTTTTTTATGTCATGGGCCCTTTAAGTAGGACATCTCTAACATGTGATGCAAAGCCTCTATGATAAAAGTCCCCACTATTAGAAACCCAGTAATATTTGTGCCTATGATCTTTCACTGTTTATGTGACTCTGTATTCTGTGAATCAGAACTGGTGTGGCTGAGATATTCTATGCTGTGCATTAGTTTCTGTGGAGAGTAAAGTCTGTGTGCGTATTTTGGTGGAGGTGCACTGAAAGCCCTGATGCTATTTGTCCTATAAATAACCAAATTATAATTACTTAGCTCTTATTTATTCCTTCAGATGTTGTTTTCAAACGAACAACACATTCACTTGTTATATATAACATTAAATAAGTTTGGATGCACTTTACATGTTTTAGTATCCTAACTATGAGCATTTTACCATCTCTGCTGAGTTAGATCATAACAAAACGACTTAAAGGGGAACTCCACCAATTTTTCCAAATTTCTGCATAAATAAATGGTTAAGATGTAAACAGAGTTGTTCAGAGTGGTTTGGTGTGAAACGCTCTGTTCTAGAGAAACTTACAGAGTCAGAACTGTTCACAGTGGTGGTGATAGGAACCAGACGTCCACCTCTAAAAGCTCCTCACAGAAAGTTACTACATGAAATGGTTATGAATTCACTGCCTGATGTCTGAGACACTATTTTACTATAGTTCTGTGATAAGGTTTTGGCTTAAAATGCATTTCAATCCATTCATGGTGGAGGGATACAAGCAGGGTGCTGTGAGGCAAAAAAAGTCCCCAAAGAAAACTTATTCTTTCAGATTTTCCACTATTTTCCATCATCAACATTCCATATAAACTCAGAAGACTCGTGTAGGTTCACTGGTGGTTCTGGATGGTAAATAAAATGTCTATATTTGTGTTGTAGTCATGGCGACCCCTGGTTCCTATCACCACCACTGTAAAGACATCTGAACCATTTCACACCAAAGCCTCTCTGAATGACTCTGTTTACATCTCACACACTGAATTATGTGGAAAATTTGAAAAATTGGTGGAATTCTCTTTTTAATACATCTCATTTTGTGAAGCTCAGGTTTCTCCACCAGCGTAGTTTGCGTATGTAAACTTATACTCTGTTTGTTGAACTTAAAAGTTTGATTGTATTCAACTCCACATGTAATTTCAAACAGTTTGAAAAACTGAGTTTCTAAACTTAATTCATTCAGAGCAACGAGTTACCTTAAATAGTTTGAGTAAACTGAAGTTGTCAGGGTTTACAGTGTGGTGGTTAAGCGGGGGGGACATATGGGGTGGGGGGTTAAGAAGGGGCAGTGATGTCTCTAGAGAAAATGGGACATTTTCCCATGGTCAGGAGGAAAAGGCCTGCTGCTAAACTCATACTCGGGCAACAAGGCATTTGATGATGACAGATCCTTAGTCCTCTCGTTCAGATTCCCAGGCCCTGCCAGCCCCTTTATCAACCCCCCAACCCCCCCCAACTTCGGCCTAGCAGAGGAAGACCAGGGAGGAGCTGGACTCAGTGAAGTTGATGAACGTTATTGCGCCCACTCAGGGCTCACGGGGGCTCTGGGTAGTACCCCCCCCCCTCCCCACGGCTTACTCCCATTCTCAAAAACAAGAGAAAATAGACCTGAAAAACAGCTACGATAAACAGCTCATGTTTGTTTATATATGCTTTGAACTGCGCTGGAAAAAATGTAGCGTAAACAAAGTTATTCCTTCTCGATTTGTGTGGAACACATTTTTGGGCGTCTTTATTTCTTATAATTTACTTATCATGCATTTGCATGATTCAGTGGTTCTTCGCATGGTGAAATGGTTCTTCAGCTTCATGGAGAACATGTTGTATACGGTTCTACATAGAGCACCAAACAGGGTGTATTCAAGCTTTTAACAATAGCAGAACCCTTTTTGGTGCTATATAAAGCCATTTTCAAAAAGGTTCTACATAGAACCATATGCAACACATTCTCCATCACTCTCAAGAACCATTCCACCATGCAAGGAACCATTTAAGCATGCATATGGTTCTCTGAGTGGGAACACTGTCACGTAGTCCAGCAAGTGGTGCTCTCTATTTCTCATTCTCATAACTTTTACACGTGTAGTCGTTTTTCTCATAGACTTGTATGGTGGAATATTGAGACGGTCCCGCTGATGATGTCATGAGGCCCTTGCAGCTGATTGGCTGGGCTCGTTTAAAGAGCTTCTCCTTCACTCTGTTCTCCTTTACAGCCTTTTTTATGGCTCCATAAACTTCCTCGCTTCTCTATTTCTTCATTCTTTCCTCCTCACTTCTCTTTGTTCATCCCTTTTTCATCATCCCTCCTTCCTCCATCCCTCCATCCCAGCTCAGCTGAAGTATTCTAAACCTCCTGCTCTCTGTCTTCCTCCAAAGATCATGTTAGTTTTTATTCTTTTTCTTCGTTCCTTTGTTTATTTCTTTCTACTTCTAACATAATTTCCTCTTTTTTCTCCTTCTTTCTTTCTCACATTGTCCTTTCCTTTCTTGTTTCTTTCTTTGCCACTTTTTTCCATTTTTATGTCCTTCCTTTTCCTCCCTTTCTTCCTTACTCTCGTTCCTTCCTTCCTTTCCCATTTTATTACGTCTGAATTCTGTGACTCATTCTTTACAAACATTCTTTTTTTTTAATTAAATCTTTATTTCTTGCTTCTCCGAGCAGCAAATTTCCTTCAGATGATGCAAATATAGTTTTGTTAATATATAATATATAAAATAATCTTTTTTATTTATTTAGTCACTTGTACATATTCAATATTCAAAGTCCACTACATCTACTTTCCCCGGTCTTTGGCACTGGCTCCACCAGGTGTGGTGGCCTTCATCATGGGGAATCTCGCCAGCTCTCCCATCGCTGACCTCTGGGAACCTGGGGGTCTTCCTGAAGCTCTCCGAGGGGGCTCTGGACCGCTCAAAGCCACCTCCGGGTTAGGACAAGCCATCTGAGATGGTCCTGCTTCCTCTCCTTCTCCATTCCAGCTCTGGTTTCTCCACCTCCAGCACCTCTTACCACGTCTGGACGATTTATTCTCCTTTTTTTGTAGTGCAGCAACATCTGGAAGCAGTCAGAGAGTCTACATGGGAGGAGGAGAGGAGAGGAGAGGAGGGGGGCTTGGTTTGGTTCGTCACTTTCCTCGCGCGCGCGCGCTCCCTCTCTCCCTCTCTCTCTCTCTCTCTCTCCACACACAAGTATTACTGCAGAGAGGCAGGCGAGCCGGAGCGCGCTCCGCAAAGGCCACCGAGAAACTCCTGCGTTTTCTGTTTTTTCCTCCTCCTCCTCCTCCTCCTCCTCCTCCTCCTCCCTCCTTCCTCCTCTCCCTCCGTTATGGACTCGGCACGAGCCACTCCGATTCCCTTCTCCGGAGCAGCAGCAGCAGCAGCAGCAGGCGCGCGGCACACATGGAATCGATCACAGGAGAAGATTTAACCCCGTGAGATCCGATCTGGAATACGCCAGCCCTACCTTTCCCCTTCTCTTTCTTCTTCTTCTCCTCTTCTTCACCCTTTTTCCTCGCTCTCGCGGTCGCCAGCCTCCTCCTCCTCCTCCTCCTCCTTCTTCCCCCTCATTTTTAACCCCCTTCTTGCTGCTGCATCCACGAAAAGGGGCGATCACTTCAAAGAAGAAGGAGGAGAAGCAGAAGAAGAACGAGAAGAAGAAGGGATTAAAAAAAAGCAGCAGCAAGTGGGTGCTGAGGGGGGGGTGGGGGGGTGTCGTGTTTCTTAGGCAAGGCCCGGATGTTCCAAGGATGCACTGGTTCGTTCTGCTAGGCGCCTCGAGCCTGTACCCGTTTCTGTTTTCCCACTCCATAACGGGGATCAGGTAATATTAACTCCAGCGAGAGGAAAAGGGAGAAACTCGCCCTTCTTTTTTTTTTTTCTTCCCTTCTTCATTTTTTTTCCTCTCCACCTCTTCCCCCTTTCCTCCTCCTCCTCCTTACAAAAAAAAACCCACCCACCCCTTTGATTTCTTTCCCATCTTGGGTTGTTTCCCTCCCACCCCTCTTCTTTCTTTCTTTCTTTTTTTTCTTTTTTTAAATACAACCTTTCCTTCGTCCACATTCACCTTACGGATAAAAAAGGCTGGACTACATATATGGTCAATGAGAGCAAGAACATGTACATACCGGAGGAAACCCTTGAAAACCATCAAGGTAAGGGGTGCCATTTATTTAGCGTCGCTGGGTTTTGGGGTGGCATGCGTACACCATATGGATGGGTTGGTGGATGATGATGATGATGGTGATGGTGGTGATGATGATGATGGTGACTGGTTCTTTTGGCTTTTTGTGGTGCGCACGAAACAGGAGCTGCACCATCTCCTTCTCCAGCACATGTTTCAACCAACCCCCCTCCAAAAATATGGGGCATTGCCTGAACCAAAAGAAGTCCCACCTCACTTCCATACGCAGAGGTTAATGCTTCTATTGCCCACCCCCCCAACACACACACACACACACACACACACACACACACATTCTGCACAACTTCATCAGCCCCGAGCTGCCCGAGCTGCCCGAGCTGTGGAGCTGTGGCCGCCTTACTTCACCCAAAACGCAAAGACAAACGCTGCAGCTCGTGCCAGCCAATCCCGTCCACTGAAGCTCCATTTCTTTCTTTTTTTTCATCCAGGTGTTGCGCGGTACGGCTCCCGGCTGTTGCGTGGCGCAGTAAGAGCCTCACCGGCTCCTCGCCACATCTCACGGGCAGCTCGAAGGCTCCAGGATGGGCCTGGCTCGTGCATTTTCCACCCAGCTTTTGGGGCTCGGTGGAAACTCGCACCTCAGTTCAAAGCCTTTTTTAATCTTCCCTGTCCAGGGATTGCAGTAGAAGGCCTAGCCTGACACAACCTCCTCAAAGCCCCCTCACTTCTCAGCATCGCTTTTAGTCGCTCTGGTTTTCAGGTCAGTCTCTCCGATGGAGAAAGTGATGTAGTCGGGCTTTTGACCGAATCAGGATTGATACTCAAGCTGCACCATTGTACCGAGGCTGTGATGTAATCCTAACTCATGCACCACTTTCTAAATATGCCGCTTTATGAGGCGCTTTTAGGTGTTTCTTCTTGTGCATTGCACTCATTTACACTTGAAGGTGAACTCCACCAAATTTCGAACATTTCTGTGCAGTCTTCTCAGTCCAGTCTCCATCCTGGAGAAACCTACCGAGTCGGAATTGTTCTAGTAGGAACCAGACGTCCTTCTCAGAAAGTGGTTATGAATACGCTGCCCGCTGTCTGAGACATTGTTTCTCGGTGCTTTTGAGAAGGTTTCGGCCTAAAACATAGGTTTAAAATCGGTTAATAGTGGAGAGGCATTCTGAGTGTATTGGTGTAGACATGGCAACCCCTGGTTCCTATCACCACCACTGTAAAGAAATCTGAGTCTCTATAACTACTCTGAATGACTTTGTTTACATCTCAACCACTGAATTATGAAGAAACGTAAAGAAAAAAAAGTAAATAAAGTGTCTATATTTGTGTTGTAGTCATGGCGACCCCTGGTTCCTATCACCACCACTGTAAATACATCTGAGTCTCTACAATAAACCATTTTACACCAAACCACTCTGAATCACTCTGTTTATCCCTCAGTGTGGCAGCTTTTGGTGGAATTCCCCTTCGAAGGTGCCACCAGGGTTCTATGGATTAATTGCCATTGGCTCCCTGAAGAAGCTTTCGGTGAAAGCATTCCTGAAAATGTAAAGAGGTTTAAGTAGCTGAAAGAACCTCGACATGCAATGGTTCAGTTAATTCTCTTTCCTAGAACCGTACAACCAAGCTAGGAAGCATCCCTTAAAAAATACTTCTCCTTTATCCAAAAATGTACCATCTTGTCTGTTTTCTCCCTGAAAAGCTCTAGAAAAAGTGCACGTTGGTTTACGATATGTTCCGCAACGTCACCCAAAGTGCAGAATAAATAAGTGACCCTTTTTGTGCCCCTCATTAAACAGAGCAATCGAAGTGTCATAACATTGGCACATGAGCGTGGAAGAGTGAGTGTCTTGTAGGTGGCCCAAGCAGATGTTAGTGTTTGTGTTAGTGCAGAATGCTGCCGCCGCCGCTGCTGGAGAGTGCAGCGAATCAGGTAAACACTACGGCTGCCCGAGTATCAGGTCAGCACACAGGCGAGCACGAGGGAGATTTCTCCCACGAAGCTACAGAGGACAGTGCAAACGTGTTTTTTAGTGCCATTTCAGCGTACAGTGCTGTGCAGTCCAGGGCACATAAACACATTGTTTAAAACCATTTATCTGGACAAATAAGTTCATTTTTGCTTATAAAATCACCATATTTCACAAAAAACACATAAATACAGTAAAAAGTAACAGGAATTTCTTATTTTGAAAAAGTAGTTGATATCTTGTGAGCTAGTTTGAAGAACAAAGTCTGAAGAACGAACATAATGAAGTTCTGATTAACCAAACCAGGTATTAACGACAATTAATACTTGGCTTTCTCAAGGAGAGGGCAGGAAATAGTTAAACGAACACTCTGACACACATACAACTAAACACAAACTGCTCTGATGAACAGCTTTTTATGGCTTCATTTTCTCTGGTTACATTTCTCAAGGCCCACATCCTTTGACACATGACATTTGTGTAGTTTTATATCTCTAAAATAGTCCTAATTTCTTTTTACACAATTATTTGTCCCTTAGAATAAAACCTTTAAGACCGACATATGTATATGAGCTCTGTTCTGATTGGCTGTGCCTCTTTTAGAAAGCAGGCCGGGTTGAAACACTCCTTATAACTTTAGTGTGAGTGGGCAGGGCTAAACTGCTGCAGGCTAAATAGGCGGGTCTGCTTAAATGTGTTGCTTTTTGCAGTGAATTCAAATCAGGCTGTTTTTGCAGCTGTTTCTTTAAATGGACTGTGGACTGGAGAGTGAACACCCACAATTTGGAACTTGTTCATGTTTACATGCTATATCAAACTCTTGATTCAAAATGTTGAGGAAAAAATGAGATTTCTCATGATTTGGGTCCTTTAGATTAAGCATTACAATAAAACAGCATTCAAATTGAGAAATAAAGGTTCTGTTCAGGTACATTTTGGCTCATCAAGGTACAAACAGTGTAAATGTTCCCTCAAAGCTCCAACAGTGGTTTTAAGGTCTGATTGTGAACCTTAAATAAGTTTCTCCAGGTGAAAAGTTCGTATTTGTACCTTTTCATAACCGAATGTTTTAAACAGAACAGTAAAATAAAAGCCTGGAGACGAGACGGGGTGTGTGGAGTCAGTACAGCTTAGAACAGATCATTTCAGTGGATTATGGTTCAGTTATGTTCCCTGACTAAAGGTACTGAGATGGACCCTTGAGGGTCCCACCCCAGTGACAAGAGGGGCACTGCCCCAGTGACAGTCTAGTACCTTTATATCTGAGAGTGCTGGCTGAAACACTCCTTATAACTTCAGTGTGAGTAGGCGGGTCTGAACTGCTGCAGGCTAAATAGGCGGATGTTGCTTTTTGTGACATCGCAAAAGCAGTGAATTCAAGTCAGCCTGTTTTTGCAGCTGTTTCTTTAAATGGACTGTGGACTGAAGAGTGAGCGGCACTTTTTTGAACCTTGTTTATGTTTACATACTATATCAAACTCTTGTTTCAAAAGAGTGAGGAAAAAATGACGTTTCTCATCATTTGGGCCCTTTAGATGAAGCTTTACGAAGAAACAACAGCATTCAAACTCTGTTTTTATCTCCTCTGGTGTTGTTTGCATTTGTTCACCTGTTGCTTTTGTTTCAGAGCACATGGTGAACAGCATTCCTGAAGCAGCCAAGCTGAATGGAAACGGGCCTGAAGGCTTGTTTTCTGAGCTGAGTAGCGTACACTTTAAAAAATAAAGGTTACTGAAAGGCTTTTGGCAACAGTTCTAGGGGAAAAAAACCTTAAATTAGCATCTTTACATTCGGTGAAAGTTTAAACTTTGAAATGTTTCCTTAGGACACCAACAGTGGGTCTTCTGTGACATCACAAAAACCCTTTTTTGGCAATGTACAGAAATGAGAGACCACACTTTATTAGTTTATTATCAGTCAAAACAGCATTTCAAAACACAGATTTAACAGAAAATGACACAACTGGTATTTAATGTCCACACTTTGCCTTTATTACTGCTTCCATTCTTGTCAGGGGACACCACACCTCCAAAGTTCAATCTCAGAAGTTGGTTTAGCTCAGGGGTCGCAACCCAACTGTTAAGAAGAGCCATTTAGTCCTTTTAACAAAAATCAAACCTCCTTGAGAGCCACAACATTTTATATCCATTTACCATCTTGGTCTCAGTATGTGCTAATGCACTAGTATAGGATAACAAATAAAACATAAACAAAAACTGCTTTAAGCTTTAGCTCAGCTATAGCTGCTTTTCTCGCATCTCCAGCAGGAAACTTTTCTAAAAGTAGAACAGTTTCTTGTAAAACGTCTCTCAACGTTTGATTTTTTTATGAGGCCTAAGTCAGCTTCTCCTTCGCCAGCTTCTCCAAATTCTCCCGTTCCACCTTAAATGGTGCCTGAGGTGCCAGAATGTGCTGCTGCACCATTTAAGGTGGAATGGGAGAATTCGAACAAGAAGCTGCCAAATGAGAAGCGACTTCAGCTTTGCGACTTTAGAGTATTTAACAGTTTCTCTGGAAACCAGCTGGAGTGATTATAAATAAAAATAAGTCCATTCGTCTCTAAATCATCGATGTTCATCTTAAATCTCTCTCTTTGCCGTTTCGTTAGATACTAGCTAGGCGAGACTGTTGTCTGTGTTGCTATGGTGACCAGCAGTCTGCGCTGATCTTCAGGGTTAAAGGGTGAATTAGCAGTTCTACATTAACTCCAGAGTTTAAGACCATTTATTGTTAAACTGTGTTGAACGATCAGCAGAGCTTTATGTTACTGTAAAGGAGGATTATTTTATTTTTACCTACAGATCTGATTCTGCTGTGGAGCCACAACAGGGCAGTAAAAGAGCCATGAGCCATGACCCCTGGTTTAGCATTTTCTGTTTCCCACACTCCAAGTAATCTCAATTATGAGCTCCTAAATAAATAAATACAGTGGTCTCAGTCTTTAGCACAGTATGCTAACTCTTCTTCCAGCATGTCTTAATTGCCTTTTATTGACTTTGCTGCACCTCAGAGACGCCACAGCGGTACGACAATG